AAATAGTTAAATCTTTCGGTATTATAAATTTAAATTTTTTTTTTTTTTTTTTACCTTTTTTAAAAAAAAAAAAAAAAAAAGAACCCAAAAACCTTTAGATGTTCATACAGAGTACTCTACACATTTTCTGGCTTCTCTTATAAGGATGTGTAAAAAGCTTTAAACAAATAAAGCTTTATACACATTTCTGTACAAAGTCCTGTTTGACAGCAGGTCAGAATTTTCTCATATTAATCATCATAAGGTTTGGGCACAAAAAATATTATTTTATTATTATTCACCTGCTAAAAGACACAATTACGGCTAATTTTTAGGTTTCTGTCAGAAACAATAAGACTCATATTTAAAATGTACTGTTATTTTTAACCACAATGCAATTTGCTCTAACTTGCTTCATTATAGGAAAAAAATAGGTTCACAGTATTACAGGTCCTCTACCATACTTATCAGAAAACATGATTTGCTATTGCAGATATTGCACATATCAGGAAGGCCAGCTTTGTGCTTAGATGCCACCTAGTGGGAGACAGAAGGACTCTTGCAAAAATAACATCCCTGTCTGACAATGTCTCCCTCTCCATGCATGAAGCCACTTCAGTGAAAGACTGCTGCATACCAAATGAATTATCGCAGATCCTTCCCACCAACAGCTGTGAGACTTCATAAACATCACTGCTCCGGCGTCACTGTTTACATAAATGCTTCTATTCGCCGTATTTTCATTCATGTTTAACATGGCATGTATTGCAATTTGTGTTTATGTTAATTTATTGCTTTACTATACATAATTTTATTCTTTATTCTATTTCTTATGATTTTAAATTGGTGACAATCTTACTTTAAATGTCTTTTATTTTGCTGCTGTTGTGCTGACATTTTTTCCATAATGGGACAAAAAATAATAATTTTCTGTTCTATTTTCTAATATATTCAACTTTTGTTTTATGATGGGTCCATTATGAGTGTTTGATTCCATAAACTGAGTCCCAGACAGATATTATGGTAAGAAAAAGGGTATTTTCCAGGAAATAGTCTCAATTACAGTATCTGGTGGTAATCTGGTATGGAGACTGTGATCATTTTACGCATCATAATATTAACAAGTGGAAAGAGGAACTGATTACAAAATTAGAGTTCTTAGAAACTCTGGTCCAAAAGTGTAGATAATTTTTTTTTTTCATTGAGTAAATACTGTTTTATTATTTTTTGTGAAAAAAATTAATACATTTCTAGATTTTGGCAACACTTTTACAAAGGGATGCCAAATTTTTAGCTGTACTGCTACAGTTAGTTTTTTGTTGCTTTGATGATACTGAATGAACTTTCTAAAGGGCATTATTTTGAATTCACAGTTTGGTTTCATCACTAGATTAATATTGTAATTCTGCATATAAAAATGATACGTTTCTATCACAGCATTTTATTGCTTTTAAAGACTGAAAATAATCAAAACTTAATAAAAATTGGCAGGTGGTTGTTACCTTTGAAATCTGGTGCTTCGTTGTTGCAATATTTTGTTATCATAAAGAAGTGTGATTGTGCTTTTTGAATGCTTTTCTGCACCTAATCTCCCACACATTATGTAGTTTTTAGCAACCAGAGCCAGTCTGAGCTCATCCTAGCTTTATAGATCTAATGGACTGGGCTAGAAGTCCAAGCTGCGATCTGTCCAAGTGCAGCCACTGAGATGGTAGTCTGTGTATAGAGAGAAGGAAAGTACAGGAAAAAGTTAGGGTTACTGTAGAGATTATACAGGCTACTGACAAAAACGTGCAAAGATACAATTTAAAATCTGTTTTCTATCATTACTATAATAATAAGATCATTAGTTCTCATTACCTTCGCCTTTGTGCTTTAGAGTGAGACTGGAAACTCTTCTCTGCTCTGGCAGAAACACCAGCAGCTCCAAACAGCTTTGCCCAACGAAGGCTGTTCTGAAAGGGAGTCTCTACACAGTCAGAGCTTGTTGCATTTTGGCTCCCATTGTCTTTTTTCACTTCTCTCTCATTCTTCCAGCCCTCCTCATAGATTTTCAACATTGTACCTCTATGATCTAGGCTACAGTTTGCCACTTTTGATACACTATGCACAGGAGCAGAAGCCAAAAGCGGACTCCTGTTAGTTTGCATGGCCTCATAATTCTGCTTGCAGCCA